TTATAATTAAATTGTATGTTTGCTAACAGCGCTACCTAGTGTCAATCACGCGAAACTCTTGTGACTGTACCGCCATCTAGTGAGCGGTGATAGAAACAAGTGTTACAAGCAGCTCATAGAGTTGACGATTGGATCTCGATCGATGGAACTGTTTGCTGCCATCTAGTGTCAAATCTGAGAACTAAATTTCACAGCGTCATTTAACCATTGTAAGTATTAGTACTAACGACACGTGGTTCCCAACTTCTACTATAGGTGGCAGTGTTCACGAGTACTTCGTTCATTCGTTTCAGCCAAATGACGTCGACTGCTGGACAAAGGCCTCCCCCAAGGATTTCCACGACGACCAGTCCTGCTCCGCCTGCTCCCGCGACTATTACCAGATCGTCGGTCCACCTAGTGGGGGGCCTGCCCACATAACGTCTTCCGGCCAGTGGTCGTCACTCGAGAACTTTTCTGCCTCAGCGGCCATCAGCTCTGCGAGCTTTGTGCCCCGCCCACTGCCACTTGATTTTAGCAATTCTGGGGGGTATGTCGGTCACTTTGGTTCTCCTGCGGATCTCCTCATTTGGAGGTCATCGGTCCACCTTGTGGATCTTCGTACTTAGCAATATTATCATATTCACAATTATGTACTTGTGATAGTAGTTTCCGTATGTAGGTAAGGGAGGTGTGACACAGATGGAGGTCCCTTAATGTCAATGTCAGTAGGCGTGTCATAGCGTCAAGTCAGACCAGTCTTACAATAGTGTTACCCGGTCTTTAGGGAGAAGGCTTATTTTTATCGATAAATAGTACTGGCCTTCACTGGTTGGGTTTTTATTGGCAGTCAAGCTGTAGATCCTGGCTACACAGGAGTTGCAGCGGTGGGAACGAGAGGTGGGAATAGTCCCTTTTTATCTATAATTAGCATTTTGTCCGCAGTTTTAGAAATGTGTTCAATGGTCATTTCATTTTTGGAATAAGCTCTCTTAAGTTTTACATTAATGAGTTTTTAGTATTATAAATAAGTAGCCTATGTCGTTTTCCATGGTCTACTCATCTATAAACCATAATTCATAAAATTGGTTCAGTAACTTAATCAGCAGACAGACAGTGTTACTTTAATATCATCGACAAATCGACTACCACCAACACTAGCCAGGACAAGTACTGCAGTAGGTACTGCATAAGTGCATACTGGATACAAACAAGCTTCAACAGTAAGTTTAAGTGAGAGAGTCATCTTTTCATACTAAATAAATAAAGTAACAAACACTGTCCAAAGAAATAAATAAAAAATATTAATACCGTTTTTTCCTGAGTTACTTCAAGCAATCATTTGTAAATACTGACTAACATTTACTTGGAACCCACTGCATTCCTCTACAACCTGCAACTTTTACTGGCTGACCCGGATGTAACAACCTGCACTTTTGGGCCCAAGCGAGGGTCAAGTTTAATGCGGTCCATTAGTTTAAGTCGCAAGGTGAATATCAAGGTTATTTTTGATAACATCAATTTAAAAACTGGTTATGGACCGATCTGTAAGCTCACTTGCAAAGTTTAAAGTAAATAATAAACACGTCCATGTCATCCATACTGTGATAACTGCCTCTGTGGTCTAGTGGTAAGACCACCTGCTTCAGACGCAGAGGTCCCGGGTTCGATTCCCAGTGCGGGCAGATTTTTCTATTCGGTTTGGTTGGTGGTAGAGCTTGTTCTAAGTCCGCCTGGCTAGCTACCACCATCTTACCTAAGTCTGTCGCCATAACAACGATGTTAACAGCATTGTTGTGTTCCGGCAGTTAGAGGTAAGATAGCCAGTTCCTCCGTGGTTGAGGATTCCGGGTGAAGCTCGCTTCCACCTTCGACCTGATCATCACTTACCATCAGGTGAGATACAGGCCAAGAGTTTCCTCGTTGTGGATAAAAAAAATGGAGGATTTGGTCTACACTCCCCACGCTGGTCAGACGAGTTGGAAAGACTTGGAATTACAGGTCATAATAGCAGATATATCAACTCGGAAAGGGATCAACACCGTATCGCCTTTTGCGAGCTGTCATCGTCTCTCACGCGCTGTAAGTCGCGAGGCGAGGCGTTTTCGTTACGGTGCGGATAAGTGTGCGTTGAAGTATGTAGTTTCATACAAATATTTTTTTTATGCACAACAAGGCAGGTATTAGACCACAATCGCACCTGATAATTTTTTTTTATGTCACAGGAGGCAAATGAGCAAACGGATCATCTGATGGTTAAGTGATTACCGTCGCCCATAGACACCCGCAGACCCAGGGGCGTTAAAGGTGCGTTGCTGGCCTTTAAGGTGAAGATACGCTCTCCTCTTGAAAGCTCACAGGTCGTATCCGTCAGGAAACACCGCAGACGACAGTCCATTCCACAGTTTGGTTGAACGGGGCAGGAAGTTTCTAAAGAAACGTACTGTTGTGGACTGCCAACCATCTAAGTGATGGGGGTGGATGTGGGGTGGAGTGGGATGGTACATATCTGCCCCGTAAGTGCCGGAGTCTTCGGGAAAGACAGCAGCACGCAACGAATTCCAGTCCCTAGCTGTTCGCATTATAAAAGAGTCATCGAAACGCTTAGTGCGAGCTGGTGGAATGTCAACAATATAGGGATGGTACGCTAACCTGCGTCTGGTTCCCCGATGATGGAAGGGGGTTGGAGGAAATGTTCGTCTAGAATATACTTACTGACCGCCTCGAGTTGATACGGTTAGGATCCCTTTCCGGGTTCATAAACGTGCTAAGGTCTTTAATCATCGTAATTTCAAACAAGTTATCTTCTTCAGTAATTAACTATTTATCCTTGTGTAGTCATAAAACAATTGAATGACCCCTAATGCGTAAGAGTTGGCTTTAAATAGACTAATTATTGTTTTTGCGTTACCTTTGTTTACAATGTTTATACTTTTATGTTCGAGGGATTGGTACAATCAGCTTCAAATACATAGTTCGTGACACCCAAAGTGGCCAAAAAATTCGCAATTTTAGCAACACGTCTTTGTTACAATAGGCTAGTTTTCTAAAAAAAAACTTTTTAGTCCGTCAATTTTAATATAAAAAAATCACCTGAAGCACCTGATTTCATGCCCTGAGTGCCCAAGCAACTGCACTCAGGAGGATTTGATGAGTGCTACTGACAACGCCACTCTTGTGGCGGAGTTTTGGGCTTACACTGTGTAGGTTTGTTGTCGACACGAAAAGAAGAAGAATATAAAAAAATATTGGACACGTATATTTTTAATTGTCAATCAAACAAATATTACTAAGTTATAGCGCGTTGAAGTCGCGCGACGTCACAAAGTGCTGCACTTTTACGCACTCACTGACGTCACGGGCCTTTTCTTTAGAAATTTGGCACGCTTTTTCTCTTTACATTTTCATTAGTTTTAAAAAGTGAAAAATACGTGTCGAGAAGTTTTTAATAAGCTAACTGACGGACTAATTAAAACTCTTGCTTTTTTACCCAGGAAACATCCGTATTGGAATAAGGATGTGTTGTCGACTTTTTGGCCATTTTGGATGTCACGAACTATGCGTCGTGTGTATGCAGCTTTAGAAACAATCACCATCTTGTTATTTCCACTTATTCCCTGACTAAGCATTACGTGAGTGATAATTTCAAATCTGCAGTCGTTATTTATGTCACGTAGGTACAAAATAATTCGCTGTTGCGCATCTGCACGATATTATAATGTGCGGTTACTGGTTATAGTTAGTTATGGAAAATTTGCAAGGCTGTAAGAAAAATAACTAAATGTTTTTCCACTTCATAAATATTTTATTATTATTGTATTTGACGCTGACTGTACGTCAGAATTTTTGTTCTATAAATTAAAAATTTAAATTTCATATTATATTTTCTGTATCTGTTGAATATATGTTTTGTTTTACTTCGATTTTCCAGATTTGTTGTGACCCTAAGCCCTAACCAACAGTGACAGCGGACCTCAATTTTTGCGGTCCCTATAACGTAGTGTTGTTGATCATCAAACCTGTTCGATTTCAAGTTCAAGCAATGTCAAATTAAGATTTTATGGAAAGATTTTATTAGTCACTCATTACATTCCCTTAAGTAGTACATAACCCTTGATAAGACATTTAATTTACCTTATTACGGGACTATTCACCTCTCAATTCCACCGCTGCAACTCCTGTGTAGCCAGGATCTACGCTTGACCGCCAATAACCCAACCAGTGAAGGTCAAGTTTGTCCCGGGGGAAAGTTAAACTGTCATTGGACCCGCAACGAAATTAATCGGAAGAACATAGGAGGAGTTCGAAGTTGTATTCGACTTCCCTCCTAATTCTTATTGGGGATATAACAATTACTTTACCCTTCTTCATGAAACGAAGTGTTTCTAATCACAAGTTCGATCAATACGAACGAAGCCGCGGGCAAAGGCTAGTCATAAATTAACACACTGTAATCGCGTTATCATAAAAGAAGGAATAGAAATATTCACTTATTTTACTCCAAAACTCATAAAAACTCAGTTTATAGGCTTTTAAAAAGCGCTTCCACAAGTCCCAGTATTCCTTTAACCCTTCCACTGCTTCGGGACCATAAATGGGCCAGTGCTGAGAAGAAGCAGCGCAGGAAACTGGCCAAAAAGTTTAAAAAAAAACCAGCAACTTTAATAGTAAAATATTAAAACATGATGGCATGTGTTACCACTTCCCACTTCCTGCTAGTCCTACTAATATTATAAATGCGAAAGTTTGGATGTCTGGATGAATGTTTGTTACTCTTTCACACAAAAACTACTGAACGGATTTTGATGAAACTTTACAGTATTATTCTTTATAATCCAGAATAACATATAGGCTATAATTTATGACTATCTGTGACAAACAAAATTTCACGCGGTTGAAGTCGCGGGCAAGAGCTAGTTAGTACATAAGTCTAGTCGATAAGTAAATTTTTGTAACATATTTGTTTGTAATTTAAAAGAAAATAAAATCATATCAAATCAAATCAAATCAAACAAACTTACAAAGTTCCAGTTAGTCCCAAAAGCAGGTGCAAAACAGCCCATCTGGTATATTTCTGGGTTGTCCGAACTTAAGGCTTTAACAGCCACAGAAGCTATACCAAACAAATTCACTGCTGTATGATGAAGAAGTATCAGTCCATGTAACACTGTTCTAAACACCAATCTCACTGTATTTTTTCTCGGCACAAGTGTTTTACATCCGCCTTCGACATCTGTTACTTCCATTTTAAAATTTATGTCAAAACTCGGTCTAGAAATAATAAAAACAAAAAACAACGCACTGGATTTTAAACTTGATTTGCTGTTCCTTTTTTGAATAAAAACGTTCTTCAATTTTTTAGATTTAAACAAAAAATGATCTTGAATTTTTCTCCAAAAACATTTTTGTATTCAGACAAAAAAATACACTTTACAATTGTTTGTGTGATCTCTGTGATTGTGAGTTTGACACTAATCAATTGTTTGTTTTTCAAAACAAGTTAAACTAAAAATGTATGTAATAAATATACAAAGACGTCATGGCGTACATAATACAAAATACACACTGAAGTCACGGCTAATAGGTAGGCCAAGATCTGTATCTTTAAAAAAACCAGTTCTGTTGCAGTCTACTAAATTGGTTTCATTTATAAATAGCTTGAATGGAATTCTTTTTATTATTATTAATAATGACGTGATTATTAAGTTGCTTAATCCTGGATTGCTTCATTTGCAATGTTACTTTTTATCCATAATTTCATTGTGTTTGATATTTTCGTATTCAAGCGCAAACACAAGGAAATAATATGTAAACAATTTTTAATTTAAATGTGAATGGAAAATTTTTGAAGAAAACTGTCAAAATGACAAAAACAACTAATATGAAAGTCATGACAGTGAAATGTTGTAGGTAAAAAAATAAATAATTATAAAGACGATTGTAGTGAATCCACTCGAAACACAAGCATTTAGCTTAATACGAGGGTAGCTTAACATGAAGGGTTAACGAGTAACAAATTACTAATATTCTTTTTATAACATATCAAATGATGTGCCTTTGTCTCTGTGTTTCTTTACGAGATCGAATCAGAAATGAGGAGATCAGTAAACGAACTAAGTCGCTGACATAGCCCGACGGATTAGCAAGCTGAAGTGGCAATGGGCAGGGCACATAGTACGCAGAACTGACGGCCGGTGGAACAGCCAGGTTCAAGCAAACAGTGAACGTCCTATGGCTGAAATGATGATGATGATGAACAAAAAAAAATACTTTGTGGATCAAGGACCTTAATTAGTTTTTAAAAATGTGTCACTTATTGAGTCTTATGAAACTGTATATAAACTTTATAAGCAATCGTAATTATTTCATTCAGTTCATGTTTATCACACTAACATCAATTTGTCCCCTGTGGGACTCAAACCTGCAACGCTTGTTACACAATACATACAGCTATGCGTCGCATCTATTAATATAAATACCTACATACAGTTATTATTAGTTCATTGTACATAATGATAATAACTTTAATTACATAAGCGATCAAGGTTAATTACTTCATTAAATTGTTAATGAATTTAATTACGGCAATGACATTCCAAACCGGTTAACTAGCGGTCTTAATAAAAAAATGAGTTGAAATTAGTGCATCTTTCATATAATCTATACTGAAGAGTTTGTTTGTTTGCTTGAAAGTGCTTATCTCAGGAACTACAGTACAATTTGAAAAAACATTTTTGTGTTGGATAACCCATTTATCGAGGAAGGCTTTAGGCTATATAACATCAATAATAAATAAATAAATAAAAATCACACTACAGTCAATAGGGGCGGAGCAGTGAAGAAAAATGTTGCAAAAACGGAAAATATTATTCAAATTATTTTCACGCGTACGAAGTCACGGGTACAGCTAGTGTAAGTGTTGGTACGAAGAACCACATAATAATATAGAAACTCTTTTCTACTAACCACGGCCACGGACAATGTTGTGTTTATACGTTTCACACTTCATAAGAAATAAAAGATGTGAAGTTGATCCACTGTTCAAGACGTGTTGCCATAATAAAAGGAGAAGAAGATGATCCACTGTTTGTTTTTACTCAGATTAATAATATACAACGTGCTCTTTTTGATTTCCTGGAACTCTAGGGTATTAATAAGACCACTTCAAAGAATGGAATGGCATTACATTTTTTTGTTAAATTCAACAATTTTTTCGACTTATTTTTTCATACGAAATTATTTAAAAACTATTTATCACTGAAATAATTCATAATTTTTACATACACTTATCAATAAAAAGTCTACACAAAAAGACTAGGTGACAAAAAAACTAGATTTAAGATACTATAATCTAAATCAACTAGGTAGGTATACACAATATCTTCAAAAATATGCTTTTAGAAACACATATTCTTAAGACTCTTTAACTAGTTTTTATTTATAGAATATACCCCTAAAATTTCCGGAAAACAAATGGAACACGTTGTATTCTAAAAGTAATAAACGGATACCTATCAGATAGTCGAGGTAACTATGGAACCCTAAAAACTCGTTTAAACGTCCAAGGATACTGCAGTTCTCTGTACCTATAACTTGTTTACCTTTGAATATTTTAAAACGAGATTAAGCACTTCGTACAAAACTTTATAAACAAGTATGTTTACTAAAACATTAAGCATTTTTCTAGAAAAAGTGTCTTTAATATGTATAATTATACAGGGTGTTTGGCGCATCGTGTGCCAAAATGATTTGGCGGATAGAATGGGTCATTTCCTATATTTTCAGCCCCCATAACANTATTATTAAGCATTACTAAGAAATGAATACCTACTACCGTTAGTCCCTCGTGAGTAAGCTAAATAATTATGCTTGTGTCACGATTGGGCTCACTACAATAGTCGAGCGACGGTGGGATTCGAAACCGCGTTCCTCGGATCTCGAGACGGCGGTATTGTAACTTATCTAAATCTGACTGGCTGACATAGTGATCTATCAACGCACAGCCTAAACCACTGGACGGATCGGGCTAAAATTTGGCATGCAGGTAGATGTTATGACGTAGGCATCCGCTAAGAAAGGATTTTACGAAACTCCACCCCTAAGGGGGTAACACGGGATCCACGCGTACGAAGTCGCGGGCGGCCGCTTAGTTTGCTAATACAATTGATCAGAAGGGGATTAAAATTAGCTACAACGATATCATCTGGGGAAGCTCCTTCCATCATAAATTCCTTTCTGCACCCCCCAGGTGACATTCTTATCAGGACTAGCGGCCGCCCGCGACTTAGTACGCGTGGATCCCGTTTTATCCCCTTTAAATTTTTCCTGAATTTTCTTTGCTACCTAATCAAATCAAATCAATTATTCAGTACTTAGGACCTTTCCAGTGACCTAATTCACGTATTTTGACTCAATCAAAATTTCGTTGACGTTTAGAAGTCGTCCAAACAGTTCTAAATCCGTATTCACATGGGTCATTTTGATAGAACGGTTACTCGATAGGATCGCAACTCAGCGATTTGTTGTCGTTGAAGTTTTGTTACGTGAATAAGGCTACAGGGCACTTACGCCCGTATTCACAAACGATGCTTACTGAAGTGAAGCAGCAAATCGAACGCACAGCGTTGAATAGAGCTCTATGATTGGTTCATGTGTCACCCTGTGCGTCCACGCGCACTGTGAGACCTCATAGTAATGTTTGCGAAACGGGCGTTATACACGTCCTGAAAATACCTAGTTTGTCCCACCACTTCGGGACAATATACCTAATATGGGATGTGCTGGCTCTTTCACTACTTCTGACCTCTACCAAAGTCTGTTAATGCTTATGTAGAGATTATTTAACAATAGCTCTGACGTATATGTATATGCGTAGGTAGTTAATCTGGGGTTTACGTCTAGAAAGGTCAGGGTGACACAGTATATGAGAATTTAACTGCATTTTTTTGTGTCTGTCGGTTCTGACGTCATTCGCTTCAAGATCTTTTTTAACTCATTTATTTTTCTAATTTTTATTGCACCTAAAAATAAAAACCTTGCCTGTGAAGGTCAAGCTTGTCAAGTGGTATGTTACTGTCATTGGACCCGCAATGAAATTAATCAGAAGTAAATAGGAGTACGAAGTTAAGGATCGACTTCCCTCCAGTGTAAGGCAGATGACAAGTTTAAGTAACCTTTATGAAAAGATAATTATTATTCGAAAATACAGGGTGTCCCAAAAGCACGTCACACTGACACTGGAGGTAGCTGAGTCTAAGACGCATCTAACAAGCTTAATATGTCCATAGAAAAGTTTCATAAGTTTTAAAATATTCATGTCCAATTGTCCATAGAAAAGTTTGATGAGTTTTGAAATATGACTTATACCTATTAGTTATTTTTTAAAATGGACTTAATATACTTGTTAAATGCGTCTTCAGCTCATGTAACTCTGGTGTCAGTGTGAGGTGAAAATTTTGGGACACCCTGTATATGCTGTCGGATAGGCTGTCGAAAGTATCAATTTATTTTTTGTCTACATAGCAAATCTAGTGCCAATTTTACCATTTCAACTATTCTAGGAATTTTAGAGAACAAATCGAATTGTTCTCACTCTCACTAATAAATTAAACTTGTGTCAATTCGGTATGTTATCCATCAATTTTAATGAGAAGTCATTAAATTGTCATCTTTCAAATTAATTATCTAATGAAAGAGAAATTCAAATTGTTAAATTTTCACGCAGCCTACTGCGTAGGGTATTCAAAGACTATCTTGATTTATTGATTAAAAGCCTACCTTGTAACAAAGTACTTTTTGGTTGCTGTTAAATTTAATTTTATTTAAAATGCCAAAGAGGCAACGTAACGCTAAAAGAAATAATAATCGATGAGCGCTAATGGAAGGAGCTCATCGAGCTTTCTTTATGATCTTTATTAAATCTACGTCAGAAAAACTAGTTATCTATCTAAAGGCAACAAAAAAATAGTAGTATTTTGAGTTCATATTTTCAAATAGTCGCGTAGTCGTTTTTAAAATATGATGAGCAAAATGTCTCATCAGAGTAAAATTACAATACATTTTCAGGATTAAGAATTTATTTCTCAAAAGAAAGTGTACATTTCACATTTTACTATAGGCACTATTAAAAATCCGACAAATTAATGCATCAACCTAAATTATATAATATTTTATTTTTAAAAAGGAGTTTTTTATTCGTTCATTCGTTCGTATACGAGTACGGAGACGTTTAAAAAGCTTCTTAACTTTTGGTCCTTTTCGGAGCTTCGAGACCAACCCCCCAACTAAACCGAGCAGAAAAAGTCGTCCCACTGGAAATTAATCCCGGGACCTCTGTCTGATTTCAACTACTGTATTACCAAGTAGCACGTCTACACTAAACTATAGTTCACATAAATAAGATCTAAGCGTTTAAACAAAAAGAAAGAAACTCACCAAAGTATACCCATCCAAAGTGGCAACCGCGTACAAATTCCTATCGGCTCCCGGTAAAAAACCATGTTTCTTT